ATACACTATTACCGGATGGACCTTGGCAAGATGTCGCTGTAGACCTACTGGGACCGCTACCTTCCAATCATTCGATACTTGTTCTAGTAGACTACTACAGTCGTTACTACGAGTATGATGTAATGACATCTACAACTGCAGAAAAGGTGATTGACTCTATCGACTGTTTCTTCAGTAGACATGGACTACCAGTTACCATAAAATCAGACAACGGACCGCAGTTCAAATCTGAAATGTTCAGAGAATACTGTGAAAACAATGGAATCAAACATGTGAGAACAACACCAAAATGGGCTCAAGCCAATGGAGAAGTCGAGCGCCAAAACGCGTCTCTGATGAAAAGAATCAGGATTGCACAAGCTGAAGGACTTGACTGGAAGCGAGAATTGAGGAAATATGTCACAGTTTATCGAAGCATTGAACATCCAATCACAGGAAAAAGTCCAGCAGAACTCCTATTTAATCGGAAAATGAGAGGAAAGTTACCGGACATTTGTGAGATGAAAACTTCTGCTTTGGATGTACGTGACAGAGACGCTGAACAAAAAGGAAAGGCAAAAATATATGCTGATGAACGAAGAGGGGCTCAATACTCAAAAGTAGATATAGGAGACACCGTACTGGTTCAACAAGACAAAATTGACAAGTTTACAACACCGTTTAATGCAACACCACACAAAGTTGTGAGCAAAACTGGAAACCAAGTTGTAGTTGAATCACCAACTGGAGCACGTTATCACCGAAACACGACACATGTAAAGAAGTATGTGATGCATGAGACCAACGAAGAACAATATGGACAAGACTCAATACCTGAAAGGGAGGAAAGTGACGTAAATAAAAATGTTGACATTTTCACTCCAACACTACAAGAGGGCACTCAAGGTCTGGAGAAACAAACAAACAGACCCCCGAGGGCAAAAAAGACACCAGAGAGGTTTCGTGATTTTGTGGTGAAATAAATAAGATAGAAATGAAAACAAGTAAAAGGTTATTGTTATAAAATAAAATGTTCATGTGTTGTTAGAAATAACATTGTTAGAAATAAGACAAGAAGGTGATGTAATGTAAAAAGGAAAAGTATGTTATGGGAAACATTAATTCCAAAGGAAAAAGGGGATGTCATGTACTGACGTCAGATTACGTCTATACGTGATGACGTATGAGAGGGAGGTGGTTTTATACGGGATGTCTTAAGTGTGGCATGTTGATGGTCCGCATGGTTAAAAATAAAGCAACTAAAAGAATGCCTGGTCATGATTCAATTCAGAGTGCAGTATCTAATTTAGTAATAAGGTTAGCACACAACACTCTTTTATCTTGAAATAAGTACTGTCTTTGAGGTAAATAACTCACTTGGCAGAAATCTACCAATGGGGCAACTTTACACTAATTAAACCATTTCTTCATTTAATTTTCAGCATAATTAGTTTTTAGCTTAAACAAATTGGGCCATAATGCATATGAATACATTGTATATTATTTTCAATGGATATTAAAACCAAGCTTTAAGAAAAGAAAACACTTCTTTCAATACGATTTTATATTTAGTACATACGTTTTATTTTTTTATTTTTGTGTTGCCCAGTAAAGCCCTACATTATTCATACACATTTCCCAAATATATACTTACTTAGATTATTGATGCTTGCCTCTAAATCCGAGAAAGTTTTCAGTAGTCGCGGTGTGTCCAGCTCTTTGACACCGGCTCCTCCACTCTCTATCCCGAATTTGAGACTCGGACCCAGGTACACAACAACCCCGAGCCCCCCCAAGAGGAGGGCGATCTTCTTGACCCACGCAGCCCTCATGCTGAGCAGCTGCACACCTGTGACAGCTTCACATCCACGCTCCGGAAGGCTAGGCGTCAGCACTGCCCTCAATGCGACTGGTATTGTCAGTTTGCATAAAAGATGCCAAGGACGAGATCAATGTTGACGCGTTAACTTGTCACACAAAACTTGCTCATCGCAGTCGTGCTCATCGCGGGAAAAAAACTGTTTCGTTACGTACGTGTGCCACTCCCAGTTTTTTTTTTTTTTTATTGCGACTCAGATAACACATGCACTTTGATCTGGTCTGGACTTTACCGCTGTGTGTGAAAGACAAAACCTGTCAACTTTTGCAAGAAAACGTAACAATAGAAAACCAGATGATTTCTCTCTTGATATTTTTCAGTTGTCTTAAAAAAGAAAGTAAATATAAAATATTTGCGTCGAAAGTCTCATGAAGATCCATACCTGTCACACCTGCAATATGTATTTCATACAAAACCGTAAACTAGAAGAACACACACCAGCATCCCTTTGTCTGTGTTTAAATATTTTAGTAGTAGTGGTTTATTTGAGAAGATTTACAATGTAGTTTTTACAGGTACATATTTCAAGAAACAATAAGCTCAAAAGGAGAATGCAGAAGCAAAAAGCTAATTTGTGCCTTCCCCATTATCAATACTACATTTAAGTGACTGCAAAAAGATTCAAATTTTCACCTGATTTTTACCATCATCATCTTGTTGATGTCCATTTCCACCTGTTTTGTTCCATTGTTCACCGCAATAATAAATGCATTGTTTTTTGTTTTGTTTTTTTAATACTATGACGTGTGGTGCATTGAGAGCTGGAGTCAGCCTCCTGTGTCTGGAACCTTTCTGTGTAGTGCAAGACAAGGCTTTATGAACCTATTGGAGGGAGGGGCCCATGTCTGCTCTCATTCTCTATTGTCAGTGCTGTTGTAGCGATGACACTATAGGAACTGCCAAACCAGAATTGTTGTGAAGATAATTTCTCAATGGAGTTTTGATTATTTTGATTGAATCAGGAGTGAAACGTTAAACAAAACTGTAAAATACAAAACCATTAATATTGTGTCTGTTGATCTTGTTTTACTTTTAGATAAACCACTGCTTGTTAGGTTTGTGGAGGAGCTCTCAGGTTGAGATTCTAGTTCCTTTCAATTATTTCATCAAAGAATGCTTGTGATTAAACTTCTTCCTTCTTCTTTTCTTCCTGTGTGAAAACCCAATAAAAAATATTGTTGAAAGAATAACATTATCTCAGTCTTTATTGAATTCACTAAACTGTTCTACTCTGTTGTGCAATTTTTTTTAGCCAAGCCAACCCTCTGTGAATGTGATGTGATCAAACAAGTTCATCTGGATTTAATTAGAGGCTATTGGAGGATGGTGATGGTCAGGTGTGGCTGGATGATAAGCTCATAGTGGAGACTCTCCCTCACAATTATCTCCCAACATTTTGTTGTGTTTTTTTCATAGTCACTCATCCTTGAAACTGACACATACAGGTTTTGCTGATGTAGCGATGATAGTGGCACAAGTTATTCACTAGATAGTAACAAGTTTGACAAAAATTCTTCCTGTGTTTGTACTGTCACATTAAGTCGTATCATTTGTTGCTTGCTTGGATTCCAATGTTCTCATGTGACCGTTGCAATGGTTATGATACATTGTTTACCTGCTAAATCTGCACGCACAGCACTTAACCAAATGAAGTCTTCCAAATGAAATCCCTCCTCAATCCTGCAGTGCACAGGATTGGGGGTGGCAGTCAGACAAAGTGGGGTTAAGTGTCTTGTCCAAGGACACAACGACAGCAGTCATCAGTGGGAGACGTGAAGTAGGTCTCACGGTAGGCTCGAACCCACAGCCTTCAGGCCCAAAGGCCAATGCTCTACCAACTGCCCCGACAGTGGCTCCTATGTGTTTGTTATTATTGCATTTCCTGTGTTCGCACTGTTTGATTCTCTTATCTGTTGTTGAGAAATCGACAACTTTGTATTGACACATTCAATTCAATTCAATGAACTTTTGTATAGCCCTAAATCACAACAGTAGTTATCTCGGAGGACTTTGCAAAGAATTCGCAATCACGGATCAGAGAATCAAACTGCTCAAACGCAAGAAATGCAGAGCGGAAATGATTCACCCAGAGGCTACTCCACCTTGTGACCCGTCCTGTTCCACCCAGAGGCTACTCCACCTTGTGACCCGTCCTGTTCCACCCAGTGACCCGTCCTGTTCCACCCAGAGGCTACTCCACCTTGTGACCCGTCCTGTTCCACCCAGAGGCTACTCCACCTTGTGACCCGTCCTGCACTACCCAGAGGCTACTCCACCTCTGCTGCTGTGACCTGAAGGGCTGTTGCTGATTATTATTATTGTTAGCTTTTGAGAAAGATCAATTTTATTTTTCATTTTTGATGCGACTGGACACCTGAATTTCTCCTACAGGGATCAATAAAGTTGATATCTATCTATAATAAATTAGTCCATAAAGGTCAGATTACCAATGACCATTAATGATAAAGTCCATAAATGTTGTTGAATGTTGACATCTATGGACCTCCAAGACAACTGTTGTGGTGATTTAGGGCTATAAAAAAATAATTGAATTTTTTTGAATATTCCTAACATGATTGTGAATCAGGATACAAAAAATAAATGTTTACTCGCAGAATCACAAGTGTGATATCTGTCCTTTTTACCGTCTTTTTCTACGTTCTTTGGACCATAATAAAAAGTAAAAATATAAACAAATACATTGACTTTGTATATAAATTCACTCTGTGGGAAATAAAAAACATTGTATTTACAATTTTTCAGCATCCCCAGTCAAATTGAATCATATTAATAATGACAATTAAGACCACAAATACACCAATATCCATACGTAGAGTGAATACAAATAAGTTCAGTTCGCAAAGGCTTCATGGCAGAATGTTACGACAAACAGTATAGCCAAAATATGATAACAGTAAACAGTAACCGGTTATTCCACTTTGTTGACAATAAACCAGATTTCACACCAGAGCCACACAGATTAGTCTAATACATGCACAGTGTAACACAAAAATATTAACAAAGAAGTTTCCAATTTTGATACAATAATGAGTGAAATTGTGCCTGCGTTCTTGAAAAAGGTGTAACATACATTGACACATATTGACACACTTTGCAGCTGGTCAAAAAAAAACATATTTTTTTAAAAGTCTTTGATGACATTTTGCACTTCCCACTTTTGTCCAGTGCACTCCTGTATTAGAAGTTTAGCATTGTGAATTTCTAAACATCTTTTTGTTTCTCTGTTCTTCAGTTCTTTACCCTGGAAAATACACAAACACAATGCTATAAATGAAGTAATCAATCATTTAATTATAATGCATTTTATTTTATACAATGCTTCACGTGGCATTATTCATTCACTCCATACACAGCATGTAGGTGTAAGCGTCTTGCCTTCATTACCAGACGTACCTGAGAAAAATCCCAGAAAATGCTCATTTTCTTCTGCATGGCCTCTTTACAGTTGAAGAGTCCTGGTTCAGTCTCCTTGTTGCCCTGGTCGGTTAAGCAGCGATTCTCATTGTACTTGTGAGACTTGAGGCCCCCAACGTAGAGCTCACCAGATAAGCGATAATAAATACGCTTAAAGTGGATAAAGAATACGTCGTGAAGCATAACTGTGAGTCCGTCAGAGTGTATGAATGTTTGAAAATTACCTGGGGTGCATAGTAATAACAATTAAACGCAATTGGGGTGTGACCAGGTACAGGTCCTTGGTCTATGCACATGTCAGTATCGAGGTTCTTCAGCTGAAATGTTGGGATTTTGTAAATAAAGAAGAAAACCATAATAAATACATTAATTTTTTTTTTTTATAAACCTGCTCATCAGAAAAGTTACATGGTGAATCTACTTACACCTCCGTATGCAACCAGGTCGTCCAAGGGGTCCAGTAGAGGATAGACATTTTCCAGATACCACTTAAATGGTTTGCACTTCAGATCCTCCCTCAGCTTTTTGCGCTCACTGACGTCCCCAATGTCTATGCCATGATTCTGCAGGGATACCAAAGAATAGGCAAATACTTAGTAGTCTGTGGATATGATAATGGCCTTATCATTCGTGTCCCCACAGTGTGTGCTTTTCATCTTTTCACAAAGCAGCTGAGGACCGAGTACATTGTTCACTGAGTAAAGAAAGGATGGCCAATAAAAACACCAAGAACAAGGCAATATAACCCAGTCTCATATTGCACACATGGATCATTCTGAAAAGAGTATGTTGTTTGCATTGACCTCAAACGGCAAGTTCCACATGAGGTTGATGTTGTGTTTGTATTCATCCATCCAAACTTCAGCCACTCTCAGGGCGTTCCTCTTCATGGCCATGCTGAGATCTGGCATGTAGGGCTTGTGGTTCCTCTCTATGTGGGCAATCTTCGAGCAAGGGACGACTTCAATGCTTCCGCCACAGGTCCAGACCTGGGTGGGCAGAAAAAAGAAAAAAGGTAAATCAAGTAATGTGTTCATTATTCTATTGTCTCTGGGCCATGTTCACAGACATGATGCTTAAAAAAACAAACATAATGACACAAAATACTATAAAAGTGCAGAGGTACAGTATAAAATACATGGATCATCAAAAAAGACTAAAAATAAATCAAGGAATCAACACTTTAGTTTTGGAAGTGAACTCAGTTTATTCTTTTTCTTTATGTAGTTTATTTTTATCTCATTATTCTTGTAAGATATTCTTTTGTTTTTGAAATGTGAGGAATTCTATCTTTATATTCCCAGAGCAGTCATTTTGACAGCTCCATTCATTAGAATGTAAAATTCAAATGTCATTTTCAGTCTCTTGGCAAAAGTCATTTAGCATTAAGTCTTTCTATAAACTGTTTTTATTTCCTGTATATCAAGGTATAATGACCAGTTTGAGCACTTGTTGAAGGCAATAAACATATAAATTACTTGATTTTAATCAATCTGTTGAAAAACTAAAACTGTTTTTAGTAATTGTTCAGAACTCCATTCATTTTGAATTTGAGCCATCAAAATGACTGCTCTGGAGGTTCTCATTTCAGAAATCTGGGAGTTCTTGTGATTCAATGACAGTCAGCTCCAATCTCTTGGACGCACGACAAGCAAACAATGTTACCTGCGTTATAGTAATTCTGTACATCCACTAGGACTAGCCCTGTCTGTGGAGCGACTGCTGCTGATCAGGTGGGACTGTTGCATTTACGGAGCTGATAACAGGAGGGAGAAGTGCCCTGGTCCTAGGGATCTCCGGCGCGCCGCAGACACACTCAGTCAGATAATGTTAGAGCTTCAACATATTATGTTGAAGACAAACGTCACACCGTGATAACACCACAACCTCTCATAATCCTGCACCGGTCTCTCCCAGTTTAATGGATTGACTATTGTGACAATAGGAATGAGGCCAAGGCCGTGGCAAGTCCAAGACCATAGTGTATCAAGTCCAAGACTGTAGTCCACAGGGTGCGGTGTGAAAGAGGGCTAACACTGGGGATCAGACTCACAGGGACAGCCCCCACACAAATTCAGTCCAATTGTTTATTTCAATGAGATAATGACAAAAGTCGGACACAATACGTGTATTCTACCCTTGTTCCTCATTTCTTCAGGTAAGTACTTTATAGGCTAAATGTTACTTGGGAAATTGAAGTATTGATGTCCAGGTGATGATGCAAATCTTTATCTATGCAAAACTATGATATGAGTGACATGTGTGGGCCGGGCTCTCACAGTGAAAGGGGGTGTCTCTTTGTGTGACTGAGATAAACCTATGTTATATTAGATCTCGTTACAGGCTTTGAGTAGCAAGTATAGCCAAATACAGTCGCTCACAATAGAATGTTTGAAACAACTTTGTTGGGCGTCGCATAAAAAATATTTTTGCATGGGGAAATATAACTAAGTCAGGTAGTGGATGGGACTGTACCTTTCCAACCAACAATAACTGCACAACACACGCAGAACAGGGAAGATGTACTGCCCAAGGTAAACGGACAACATTCTATTCAAAGTTAGTCAAACGGATCAGACAGTAAACAGATTAGTATTAGTGATAAGAGCATATGTAGTTACTCACACGAATTCCAAGCTCAACATTTTCTCCACCGTAGACCGTCATGCCTTCATCGAGTACCCCAATTTCCCCAAGATACTTTCTGTCAGCCACCAGGATTCCCATGACAGAGGGACTCCTACGTGAAGCAAACATACACATCATTGGCCAAACAAATACATTGAAACCATATAAAATGTTGCACCAGTCTTACTTTCCAGGTAATGAGCTGTCCTTGAGTTTATAATACTCAGGTGTGAAGCTCTCATACATGCACCACAAGGCCCAGTCAAAGGCGTGGGCGGTCGGGATGTACTGGACTACTCTGAGGTCATCAAAATTCACACGATCGAACACAGGAGAGGTGATGATAGTTCTGTCCATCTTTATCTGAGTTAACAGCGGCTCAGCCCTGATGGAGGAAGAGGTGTTTACAATAGAGTTAAAGATACAGTCAGTGGTTTTTTCCAGATGCATATTTTTAAACTGTGGGAAAACGTCCCGAAATCCTAAAAGTAGTCAAGTTATCATGTGTTTTCAAATAGTAATGGAATTGACCAGATACCAATAGTCTCCAAAAATGAATTAAAAATATTTTGGAGCGGACCGATAAAAACGAAACAATGGGATTCGTTCATCCCCAACGAACCAATGGGATGCGTTTACCCCGCTCCATCCTCTTCCTGTGCGCACACCCGAGTTTTCGGATTTTCTAAAACCTAAAATTGCTGAACAGAAAATGCCACTTTCATGTTTACCACCCACTCTCCCTGTTGTGATAAAGAAAAGAAAATGCTGGATGTTTGGTTTGGTGGAGAGGCGAGGGGAGGGGAAGAGTGGTTTCGAGTTGGTGCTACGGCTAAGCTAACAAATCGCTTCCTGCACCTTTAAACAGTTATGGTGCGTGATATAAAATTTGCTTTAATTTATCTATTTTTTACAGAGTGAATTTACAGTTGGTTTATTTCTATATTGGTGACACTTCGGACTGGATGCATGTCAAGGCGAGAGTGAGGTGAGCGACCACGCAGTCTTTATGTGCAGAAACAAAAACTGGTGGCGTCACCGTGAATGCTGTCCCCGGGGTTTTTATACTGCTTGAACTTCTGCACATTTTTCTGTTACCGCCACATACATAACAGGCCTCAAAAACAACCCTACAACTGAAGTGAAAGCAATATGATACATGATTTTGTCTCTACAAAAAAATCTAAAACTTTAAAGTGGGGTAATCATACTGCACGAGTTATTTGGAATCCCCTGCTCCTGAAGGGTTTCATACACAGTCATGTATTTTGCTCCATCCACCATCCTATCAACATTGACCCTCTTCCTCCTGCCCGGCTGAAGAAAAGCAGCCCCATTACCTGATGCTGCTGCCCCCATATTTGGCTCTGGGGCTGGTGCACTGAGGAAAATGAGCAGTGTCATTTTTGTGCTTTATATGACATTAGCAGAATAGAGGCTCCTCCAGAGTAAACATTTGCCGCACCGCTGAATCTGTGTTGTCCTTGTTGGAGCCGAATCTTGGTAGATTTGCAGTTGTTACATACCCTTCCGAAAAAATCTTAGTGAGATTTCCAGAGCTTTGGAAATTAGCATTAACAAACCATCCTTCAAACTTCTCCATCGACGGATTCTTTTCATCGATGAGCGAACATTCAGCAGTCATTAGAGATTGATTAAAGACAATTTACTACTGGAATATACTGTATGAATACTTGTGCACCCCACTTTTCACTTTTATATTTTCTACTTAATAACAAAATCATGTATCATTTTGATTTTACTTCAAAGTTGTGTGTTACCTGTGTGTGAACTTCTAGTAAAACATAATCCAAATAAAGCGTTTATGGCTGTGAACGTCATAAAATGAGCAAAAGTTCCAGAAGCACTACATCTTTTAAAACAAAAGCGTATTCGTTTTTGCAATTCCTCAGGTGAAAGTTTGTTCTTTAAAAAGGCATGGCTGTGTTCAACTTTGTTCATTATTTTATAGTATGAAAGTTAGTTACCCCAGCTTTAATATAATGTCATTTTGTTGATATTAGTCTGAGTTTAATCACTTTAATATTTTGAAGTCCATTTTGACTGGGAGGGTTAGTAAAGAGTCCGTACCACATCTCATACACTTCAATGTGTGCATCCAGGATTGCCACCACATCAGCAGTAGCCGCCCTCCATCCAGACGCTCTGGCGAACGCAAGGCCACGCTGCTCATTGTGCCTCACTCGGATGAATGTGAGCCACGGGTTTTCTTCTTGAACCATCTTTATGTACGAGTCAAGTGGCTCCTTTAAGTTTTCTGAAATGCAAGATGAGATAAATGATCAATCTATTTCCTTTTATTTTACAAGATGACTTAGATGATGAGGAGCCATGATGGTGGAACAGGTTTTCAGTGAATGAAAGAAATATGTAAGAAACACACCCTTGTCACTGTTGTCATCGACCATAACAATCTCTTTCAGCAGATGCTTTGGCGTTCGGTTCACAATGCTGCGGATGGCCCTCTTCAGGATGGATAAAGCTTCATTTAGGTAGATCAGCACCACACCAATCGTGGGCAGGTCTTTTGAGTACGTCTTACTCAAACACCTACAACATAACAAGCATTTAAATTTAGATATCTAAAGCATGCGTGAATGAAATACCAAGACAAGTCTTACAAAAGCCAAACCAGTTGTTGTTTGAAAGGACTCGCCCTCATTTAACTGTGTTTACACTGTGTGAGCGTGAGTCACTCAAATAAAATAAGCCTAATAATAAATGAATGCACTAAGTCAAAGCACAAGACTCATTGCAAAATCAGATTTTTGCCAACTGTAGAGATTAATTATGTTGTGGAAATATCTAATGAAATATTCAAGATGTATAAATGAACCAATATTCAAATATTGTATTCACTTAATTGTTTCTGCCCTATAGTTGACAATCAATTTGAACTAAGTACATGTTGAACGTGTCAGAAATGGCAGCGTACCCTTTCTCCCTGGTCTCTGGGAGAGGTCTATCGAGAGGCAGCTGGTCACTGAGGAAGACGTTGTATCCATAGAGCTCAAATAATGCCTGTGCTTCCCTCTGCTCATCCTCAGACAGATTTACGCCCCACTCTTTAAACAGAGGTGAATTTGGGAAGAGTTTTGAGGATTTCTTCATCTCCAGCTCCTGTTTCTCTTCTACTTTGGGCTGTTCTTCTTGCTTCTCTTGTGGTGGCTGATTATTCCCAAGGCTTTTGTGCATTGCTCTCTCTTCTTCCAGCAGTTTTTGCATGTCATCTTGTTTTTTTGCAAATATTTTAACAGCACCATCTAAAGAGGAAAAAAACAAAAAACGATTGTCAACAGAAATACACATGAGCACTCTCATCATAGGATAAAACAAAAATCAATACAGCCAGAGCTCTGCTGGTATCACAGAGGGATGTTATTGTCTGTATACTCTGAATACACTGAGGTTGGTTCAGGAGCCTGATAAACGTCGAAAGGCCCGCTTCTGGCACATCGACCAGGGTTTGCCCATCACTGGTTAACATATTGATTAATCATAGATATATATATATATCTACTTACTGAGATTATTGATGCTTTCCTCTAAAGCAAAGAAAGTTTTCAGCAGTTGCGGTGTGTCCAGCTCTTTGACACTGGCTCCTCCACTCTCTATCCCAGAGTTGAGGGTGTGGCCGAGATACGCAACAATCCCGATCCCCCCCAAGAGGAGGGCCATCTTCTTGAACCACGTCGCCCTCATGCTGCGCTGCGCTCCTGTGACTGCTCCACACGCTCAAAGGGATGAGGATAACGCACTGTACCGGCACTGCAGACATGTAACTGGTTTTACAAGTTTGCAGAGGAGCTCACAATGAAAGATTTAGAACAAAACATGACTGGACGTACGGTTGGAAGTAGGACTATTTTGTGAGTTTCTAACGGGTACTAGATCCAGGCTTCATGTAGAGGATTTGGAGACTGGAGATCTGTTTTCATCATCAAAAGGCTCGCTGTAGGATTGTTATTTTTGTTGTGGGGATGATAGCGGTTTTGATGCCCTAAACCTTATTGAAAAATATTGCAAACTCATTACATTTACAGTACAGACCAAAAGTTTGGACACACTTTCTCAATCAATGAGTTACCTTTTTTTCATGCCTATTGACTGTAGATTCACACCGGGCTGTGTAAAGGCTGTTTGACCAATAAGGAGACTGATGGGGTGCTGGGCCAGATGACCTGGCCTCCACAGTCACCGGACCTGAACCCAGTCCAGATGGTTTTCGGGTGAGCTGGACCACAGCGTGAAGGCGAAAGAGCCGACAAGTGCTTTGAGCATCTCTGGGAACTCCTTCAAGTTATGTCCAAACTATTGGTCTGTACTGTATATGTGGAAGTTTGTTCTAATAGCAGCTGACTATTTTTATTTTTTATTAATCAACTGCTGAAAAAATCCCCTCGATTAAATCATAGAGACAAAGAGAGTAAATATTGGCGATTAGAATCTCAAATGCCTTTTATCTGCATTTTAAGGCAGATCAACCAGTTGGATCTCATTTCATTTTAAACTGCACAGTGTGGGTGTGGCCAAAGACAATGGGCCTCATTCATGAATAACTTCGTAAGAAACTTCTTAAATTTCTTCTCAAGTCGTTCTTTAGTAGATTTCTAAGAAGACCCTACGTGGGATTCATCTAATCACTCGTAAGGCGCTGAATTGTTCGCAGCTGTTCTCTCAGATTGATGAATGCCAACTCCTCGTAAGTAGAGCGCACGTGCCAGGTGCTTCATTAGCATAGGTACTGGAGAGACCATCGCAGACCCGAATGGATCCAGGAGCGAGCAGCACGGACCCGTATGGAGAGACCAGTGCAGACCCGTATAGATCCATGGGAGAGACCAGCGCAGAGACTCAGCGTGGACCCCACAACCTCCTGCAGCAGTATATATGCTATTGTTCTGTAGCTCTCAATTTATCGGCCAATCTTTGTTCCCTCCCTCACCTATGGTCATGAGCTTTGGGTAATGACTGAAAGCTTTAATGACACGGATACAAGCGCTGCTTCTCCACGTCGAGAGGAACCAGTTGAGGTGGCTCGGGCATCTGTTCAGGATGCCTCCTGGATGCCTGTTCCGTGACCCCGGGAGGTGACCCCGGGGAAGACCCAGGACACGCTGGAGGGACAATGTCTCCCAGCTAGCATGAGAATGCCTTGGGGTTGCCCCGGACGAGCTGGAGGAAGTTTTTGTGGATAGGCAAGTCTATGTGTATCTGCTTAGACTGTTGCCCCCGCGACCCGGCAACGGATAAAGCGGAAGAAAATGGGTATGGATGGGTAGTAATTTAAATGTAAAAAAAAAGAGGTCTACCCCCTGCAGCTCAACAGCTTCCAGGTCATGTGATCTATTGACTCCAAATCAGTTTAAGATCATAGTCCTCCACTAGCTGCAGGAGGTACACCTCTTCTTTTATCATTTAACTTTTTAAAGTATTTTTAATTAATTTTTATACGTAAATATTAGCATTTTAGCTCAATAGCTTCCAGGTCATGTGATCTATTGACTCCAAATTAGTCAGGATCATAGTCCTCCACTAGCTGTAGGAGGTACACCTCTTCTTTTGTCATTCAAAGGTTTTAAGTATTTTTTATTAATTTTTATATGTAAATATTAGCATTTTAGCTCAATAGCTTCCAGGTCATGTGATCTATTGACTCCAAATTAGTCAGGATCATAGTCCTCCACTAGCTGCATTGAAATGTCTTTTATCATTGAAATGTTTTAAGTATTTTTAATAATTTTTTAAAATACCAGTGTACATGTCTCCGTGTGTTTACCGTACTGTCTGTAGTACGGGTGCACTTAAATGTTGCGGCGAATGTCTGTCGAATATCCAACTTCAAGTGTCCTGCCTGGCACAGTTTTCGAAGGTCTGACAGGATCTGGCTTTTGCATGCAGGTATACGACCACATCCAGGGTAAATGTTGGCCGAACGTTTGATATTTGCAAGGGGCCGTCTGAAAATTGCAAGAGGTCAAAACGACTAATAAAGACTAAAAATCAACAAATATATTTTCCCCAGAATTTATGGGTGTAGTAGATCCCATTTATTGATAGCTAGCTACTACAGGCAACATTTTGGGAAAATTTAGATTTTCCCCTTCACAGTAGCATAAGTGAAATTGGAAAAATTCACTAAAAATCAACAGAGATATTTTTCCCAGTTTGATGCCTGTAGTAGCTCCATTTGAACAATAGCTAGCTACTACAGCCAAAATGTTGGTAAAAATATTGTTTTCCCCTTCACAGTATCCATCCATCCATTTTCTTCCGCTTTATCCGTTGCCGGGTCGCGGGGGCAGCAGTCTAAGCAGAGACGCCCAGACTTCCCTATCCACACACACCTCCTCCAGCTCGTCCGGGGGGACCCCAAGGCGTTCCCAGGCCAGCTGAGAGACATAGTCTCTCCAGCGTGTCCTGGGTCTTCCCCGGGGCCTCCTCCCGGTGGGACGTGCCCGGAACACCTCCCCAGGAAGGCGTCCAGGAGGCATCCTGAACAGATGCCCGAGCCACCTCAACTGGTTCCTCTCGACGTGGAGAAGCAGCGGCTCTACTCCGAGCTCCTCCCGTGTGACAGAGCTCCTCACCCTATCTCTAAGGGAGCGCCCAGCCACTCTGCGGAGGAAGCTCATTTCGACCGCTTGTATCCGCGATCTCGTTCTTTTGGTCATTACCCACAGCTCATGACCATAGGTGAGGGAGGGAACGAAGATTGACCGGTAAATCGAGAGCTTCGCCTTTCGGCTCAGCTCCCTCTTTACCACAACGGTCCGATACAGAGACCGCATCACTGCGCACGCTGCACCGATCCGCCTGTCAATCTCATGCTCCATCCTCCCCTCACTCGTGAACAAGACCCCGAGATACTTGAACTCCTCCACTTGAGGAAGGACCTCTCCACCCACCTGAAGAGGGCAAGGCACCTTTTTCCGGTCGAGCACCATGGCCTCGGATTTGGAGGTGCTGATTCTCATCCCAGCCGCTTCGCACTCGGCTGCAAACCGTCCCAGTGCATGCTGCAGGTCCTGGTTCGTTGGAGCCAGCAGGACGACATCATCCGCAAAAAGCCCCTGGCTGCGCCTAGAAATTCTGTCCATAAATACAGTGAACAGAACCGGTGACAAAGGGCAGCCTTGGCAGAGGCCAACATGCACCGGGAACAGGTCTGACTTACTGCCGGCAATGCGAACACAGCTCTGACTCCGGTCATACAGGGACCGGACGGCCCTCAGCAGAGGACCCCGGACCCTGTACTCCCGGAGGACCCCCCAAAGGACACCCCGGGGAACACGGTCGAACGCCTTCTCCAAATCCACAAAGCACATGTGGACAGGTTGGGCGAACTCCCATGAACCCTCGAGTATCCGATGGAGAGTATAGAGCTGGTCCAGTGTTCCGCGACCGGGACGAAAACCACACTGCTCCTCCTGAATCCGAGATTCGACCATCGGACGTAGCCTCCTCTCCAGTACCTTGGAGTAGACCTTACCGGGGAGGCTGAGGAGTGTGATCCCACGATAATTGGAACACACCCTCCGGTCCCCCTTCTTGTAGAGAGGGACCACCACCCCGGTCTGCCACTCCATTGGCACCGCCCCCGATCGCCACGCGATGCTGCAGAGACGTGTCAGCCAAGACAGTCCTACAACATCCAGAGACTTTAGATAGTCAGGACGGATCTCATCCACTCCCGGCGCCTTGCCACCATGGAGGCTGCCAACCACCTTGGTGACCTCGGCCAGGGAGATGGAAGTGTCCGCCCCAACATCCTCAGCCTCTGCCTCCTGAACGGAGGACGTGACCGGGGGATTGAGGAGAACCTCGAAGTATTCCTTCCACCGCCCGACAATATCCTCAGTCGAGGTCAGCAGCCCTCCACCCTTACCATACACGGTGTTGGCAAAGAACTGCTTCCCCCTCCTGAGGCGCCGGACGGTTTGCCAGAACCTCTTTGAGGCCGACCGATAGTCATGCTCCATGGACTCTCCGAACTCCTCCCAGTCCTGGGTTTTTGCCTCTGCAACAGCCCGGGCCGCGGCACGTTTGGCCTGCCGGTACTGGACAGCTGCCTCAGGATTCCCACGAACCATCATTGCTCGATAGGACTCCTTCTTCAGCCTGACGGCATCCCTTACTGCCGGTGTCCACCACCGGGTTCGGGGATTGCCGCCGGGACCAGCACCAGAGACCTTGCGACCACAGCTACGAGCCGCCGCATTGGCGATAGAGGAAGAGAACATGGTCCACTCGGACTTGATGTCCCCCTCCTCCGCCGGGACCTGGGAGAAGCTCTCCCGGAGGTGTGAGTTGAAAGTCCGTCTGACAGGGGGCTCAGCAAGACGTTCCCAGCAAACCCTCACTACACGCTTGGGCCTGCCAGGTCTGACCGGCCTCCTCCTCTGCCAGCGGATCCAACTCACGACCAGGTGATGATCGGTTGACAGCTCCGCCCCTCTCTTCACCCGAGTGTCCGAGACACGCGGTCGAAGGTCAGATGATGCGACAACAAAGTCGATCATCGACCTCCGGCCTAGGGTGCCCTGGTGCCACATGCACTGATGGACACCCTTGTGCTCGAACATGGTGTTCGTGATGGACAGGCCGTGACTGGCACAGAAGTCCAACAACTGAACACCGCTCGGGTTCAGATCAGGGGGGCCGTTCTTCCCGATTACCCCTCTCCAAGTGTCACTGACATT